ACGGTGTCCATGACGCGCTGGAAGGTGGCTGGTGCTGTACAAAGTCCGAACGGCATCACTTTGAATTCGTACAGTCCGTCGGAAGTGACGAAGGCAGTTTTCTCACGGTCACGTTCGTCGACTTCAATCTGCCAGCAACCACTCGTCAGGTCCATCGACGAAAAATATCGGGAGTGGCGCAGTCGGTCTAACGTATCGTCGATGCGGGGGAGCGGATAGACGTCCTTCTTCGTCACCGCGTTCAGTCGACGATAGTCCACGCAGAACCGCAGGGTTCCGTCCTTCTTCTTTACAGGGACGACTGGGGACGCCCGTGGGCTTCTTGAGGGTTGAATGTCGTCGTCGAGCATCTCCTGGACTTGATCTTGAATCACTTTCCTTTCCTTTAAGGAGACTCGATACGGCAACTGGTGGACAGGAAGTGCGTCTTCTTCGGTAACAATACGATGTTTCGCCATTGGTGTTTGGCGAATCTTCGATGTCGTGGCGAAACAGTCATTGTATTCGGCAAGGAGATCAACCAGTGTCCGGCGCTTCGTAGCTGGGAGCTCGGGGTTGATGTCGAGCGGCGGCGGCGTCGTGCTGTTCTGCTGTGGCGACGAGGTTTCCTCCGAGATTGCGGTGACCACGGCTGGCGCCTGAAGCTCCTCGACGTGGCCCACGGTGGTGCCCTTCGTTAGGTGCTGCGGCTCCTCTCGGAAGTTTGTCACAAGAACAGTTGTACGTCTTTCTTGGAGAACCGTTACGCCTCTTGCGACACCAATTCCTTTTTCGAGGAGCAGTTGGACGCTGCCTTCCAGAAGAGCTTCACCATGCATGGCTGCGTCGGTTATAACGGTGACGAAAACACTCGACCGCGGCGGTAGGTTCACATGGTCGGCGATAACTCGGATCGCGGTTGACGCCGTGTTGGTCTCCACCGGTGGTAAAACAGGTTTTCGCAGCGTCAACTGGTTTGCCCCGAGGTCAATGACGGCGCCATACTCGCAGAGAAAGTCCATTCCGAGGATAACGTCCCTCGAACAGTCTTGCAGAACGACGAACTTCCCAGGATACGTTTCACCGTGGATCTCGACGCGAGCAGTACATCTCCCGACTGGCGTGATGAGATGTCCTCCTCCGGTTCGTATTTGGGGTCCATCCCACGTTGTCATGACTTTTCGCAGGCGGCGAGAGAGCCTCCCACTTAAGACTGAGTAGTCTGCTCCGGTGTCCACAAGGGCCGATGCGTCGTGGCCGTCGATTATAACGTTTAGGTTGTTGGACACCGATGCAGGGACGTCGTTGTGATCCGTAGCGTCGAGAGAGTGGGAGCGCTCCGTCGTTCTTGGAGGCTCTTTACTACGGTCGTCTTCGGCAAGGCCACCTCCAGGCGTTGCCGCACTTAGTTCTCCAGGTGACGCAGGGGAAACACGCTTTCTCGGCGGGGTCGTGACACTGGGGACGCTGAACGTCGTGGCGATGGGGAGCGGGCTTCACGGCGGAGAGACGATACTGGGGAGGGCGAGCGTCGGAGGTACTCCTCGATGTCTTGAGGGCGATCACCGTACCTGGGGCGTGGGTCGTTCGGGTGGAACCCACGCAGGCCCATTGGCCGGTAGGGACAACGGCGGTAGATATGGTCTGCCTCCCCACAGTGGTAGCAGATGGGTCGTCGATCCGCTGTCCTCCACACATCGGTTTTCCTTGGCGCCGGCTGTTCTCGGCGGTCGTACTGACGTACTTCGTCGTGACGTCGGGGGTACGCCTGCATTGGTGGGTCTCGTCGTGGCGCCACCGGGTATTGTTGAGCAGTTGGCGGCGGTCGTCGGGCCACTGCGGCGCAGGTCAGTGTCGGCTCATCGGCTGCGGCCACGCTGGCAGGAGTCTCCGGTTGAATTGCCTGCTGAACTTCCTCGCGTACCACTTCGGCTATCGACAGCGAAGCCGGCTGGTTGGCAGCAGGCAGCAGCTTCCTGAGTTCTTCCCGGACGACGTCCCGGATGATGTCGCGGATGTCCGGGATGCTGCAGCTGGACGGCGAGAGGGCAGCGAAGCCGGGAAGTCTCTGGTAGTGTGAGGCCCGTGCGTGAAGGGCACGTTCGATGTTGGTGGCCTCAGTAATGAAACCTTGGACAGTCGGGCTCCGCACGAGGCGCCCGAAGATGTTTTCTTTCACGCCGGGCATTAGGACCCGCAACTTTTTCTCTTCGGGAGCGTTTGGGTCGGCGCGGTTCATGAGGCGGAGAACGTCTTCGAAGAAGTTTCTGAGGCTCTCGTTTGGTCCTTGGTGTCTTGCTTGGAGGAGTTCTTCGGCACGCTGTCGTGGCTGCTGGTTGGCAAAGGTGCGTCGCAGCTCGGCCTGGAAGTCTTCCCACGTCGAAATCGACGCTTCGTGGTTCTCGAACCAGGTGTGCGCCGTGCCTTCCAGAGCGAAATAGACGTTCTGAAGGCACTGCTCTGGTGTTCACTGGTTATGGCGGGCCACTCGTTCGTAATGCTGTAGCCAATCCTCCACATCCTCATGGGCCTCACCATGGAACGGCGTCGGGTTGCGTGGGGCGACGGGCATGAAGACGACGGATGGAGCGGTCGAGGTCTGCGGCGACTGGTTGTTCATCGTCGTCCTGTTTGACTGCACGGTCCTGGGTGGCAAAGGTCCAAATTCCGGGTGTAGGCCTTGAATGCGGCGACTTAATCGAGTCTTGGTAGTGTCTTCGTCGGGTCTTCGGGGGCTTGCTCTCGGACTTGCACTGCGGGCCCTGGGAGGTGTACGCTGCAGGGACATGCGTTACCCAGCACCTCCACCAAAATGTCACGGGTGGTGACCAAAAAAAACAGGAAATAAAAAGGAAGAAATAAACGCTTAATGTGGCGAACTTGTGCCAAAAAATAATAGGGTACAAAAGATAATAACAGAGCGTCGCGGGCGTCGAAGTCGGCGTAGCAGCAGAGTCGAACGCTGGGGCGAAACTGACTCTGCTCGCCCTGCGGAATTCCTTATGTACCCTCGTGGCTTTCTGGATCGTTCGGCGTAGAAGGATCGGCGCGTGAAACATTCTAACCTCGAATCAGCAAGACGGTTCTCGAATTCACGAGAACATCACATTACAGTGTCAACAAAAATGCGCCGCCGCGGCCAGGAATCGAACACTGGCTTTCAGCGTGGAAAGCAAGCGCGATAACCGTCAGGCCACGCGCGCGCTGCCTACTTGACCAGCTGTGCGCGCGGCAATATAGTTTTTGCTGATTTATAATATTTATTTGTTTTCCGGCCCTCGAGACTGCGACATGTCCCCAATCCGGCCCCTTGGCCAAAAAGTTTGGAGACCCCTGTTCTAACGGATCAGCTTGGATCCGCAAGAAGCCGTAGGAACGCATCTCCACCGCTTAAGTCAACGGTCCATGTAAGAAAGAGAATGTGTGGTATGGATCGTGGTTATATACGCAGTTAAGCATTTGACCGCAGCGCCCTCTCGTCTATAGACGTTGAGCCAATGCATGCAAGGTTTAACGCGATTATATACGCATTTGGCCACAGCGCCCTCTCCTGTATAGACGTTGGGCGGATATATGCAACGTTGGTGTGTGGAGTAGTGGTTAAGACGTCTGCCTCGTAAGCAAGCGGTCCTTAGTTCGAACCCCCGTGCATTTTTATTTATTTATTTTTTTGTTAAAATGAGCCGATCACGGAGGCAGCGCAATCGATGTGTGCACGGACGCCGGACGGACAAGGCTGGACCCTAAGGAGCTTCGCCCCTAAAAGATTTGGCTCGTTCGCGCGTGGCGTTCGGCGTCTGTGATAGTTCAAAATCCGGTTTTCTATGCTGATAGAGCGTAAAAAAGGGATGGAGGGAAGGGAAGTGGAGGAAGACGACAAGGGGATTAAAGTGAGACATGCTCAACATGCTTCATAGTACTTCTGATCCCCGAGCACAATAATTTCATAAGCGGCTTTACGCCAGTGTGTGCGACTGACATAACTAAATTTCGCCGGAAACGGTGACGGCAAGTCGTTATAAAGTGCTACTGGTGACGATTTTCACCCTCATTATTTTGTCACTCAGTTTTATTAGCATATGAAGACTAATTATAAATAAATATTCAAGTGCTGTTACACGTTTGACAGAATTACAAAAAGAAGAATAATTACCAAAACTATTCGCTGATTAGTTTCCGCTGCAGAGCTTCATCGAAAGCTGTCACGCAGTGCAAACTGAAGAATGCAAGAAAAAATATACTATACACAGCATGTGCTTAGAATTAGAGTTTTAGAAACCATGTCCCATAAAATGTAATGCAAAACTTTAATGTAATTTCTGCGTTTAACGTAGCAGGAAAAACGATTCCCGCAAACGCGAACGGTAATGGTGTGTAACATGCATAAAGAAGTTACACCGCGCATTCTGTGCATAGAGATAAAACGCCTTGTTTTTTCTCGTAATTTTTAGTCTACGCATGTAGATTTTCTAATTCGGAGAGATGATCCCTTGTCCTATACCACTTCATCAGATTCCATAAACCAAGCCACCAGGTGGCGTAAAAAATGCATATAACGCTTTGCGACGTGTTTTATTTCTACAGATGCCAACACTGAGGGGATAAACGACGCCACTTTGTTTCGTTTTTGATACTAAACAGAAATTTCGGTTTCAGTATCAGTGCCTTTCTCTGATATTGAGGTTCATATCACATAACATATTTTATTTATTTATAAACACTGAAGACTCATGATAGACTCCAAGCAGGAGTGAGCACCACAAATATAAACATAATATATAACACAGAAGAGATATCAGTACCAGCTGCATGCCGTAACAACAGAGTATACTCGAAAAAAAAATCAACAATATAAACGCTAGAAAACAATCGCATGAGCGCAACTTTCAAATTTGAAATAAATTCTTCGACATAGGCACTATTATGTGGCACTATTGTGAGATCAGTTATATGTCGTATATAAGCGATCTCACGGTTTAAATTTGCTTGAAATAAAATGATTAACTCACAGCCCCTTACAGCACGACGAAACCCTGGAGTGCACCCCCGGCGATCCGGAAGGGAACTACATCATGTTCGATCAGGCCACGAGCGCCAGGCTTCCTAACAACCGCAAGTTCTCCAAGTGCAGCATTGCCAGCATAGCGCAGGTTCTTCACGTGGTGAACGAGTCCCTGCACGACAAAGAGAACTGCTTTCTCGGTGCGTGGATAGAAAGTTCCGAACGGAGCGTCGTCGTTTCTGGTCTGCGCCCGGTTCTTAATAAACAGATTTTGGGCGATGCGGTGACGTAATTACGTGAAAAGGTCCTAAATACCTATGAGGGTAGTATTGTTTTGTCTTGCCGTAGCACAGGCTTTTATGACCCTCTCTTTTATCACGATTAATTCGTAGGTTGCTAGGCTACTTATTTGTGTTCCTTGACTCTGAGTACGTTAGAAGGCTTTGTACAATAGAAAGTTGTAAGAGCCGAGAACGTGATTTCTTTCGTTTCGGAAGCGGAAGCGCACTCGTGGAAAGAGCTTTCTTCGTGTTTCCAGCGAAAGTTTAGTGATCGATGATTTCTAAGAAAATTGGTTCAACACATCAGTAGACACGCCCGAACTGGTACACCAAATTATAGGTTGAAACAAAAAGCGTTTTTTTAGTGTAGTTATTGAATTTTAATATTTGGTCCTGATTGCTGTCCAAAACTCCAGAGCTCTGCTTGCAACACTGAAAACGTGACGATGTTGCAAGTTAGTATATCTTGTTACCCATGGTTTGCAAGAAGTTTGATGATGTGAAATGAATGTTCTAAAGGCCCATTTCAGCAAAAAAGAAAATACGTGACAGGTTTATTTGGTTGCCTTCTCGACTTGAAAGGTTTACAACCTGCGGCTTCACGACCCTTCAAAGATCGCGAACATTTGATTATTGGTTTTGGCATTCAATATTTTGTTGCTGTTTTACTCTATGGCTGCTTTGAAATTCAAGATACGAAGTAGCATGCCGCGAAGAGTAAAGCACGGGTATATCTCGAACGAGAAGTTTGCTTACGTATCTCGAAAAAGAACTGGAACACAACCACCATTTAAGGGGTCTTCTGTTCATTCTAATGCAAGTGTGTTCTACACTTTTGTCTGTTCGTGTCGTCCTTAAAGGGGAACTGACATTTAAAAGGTTGAATTTTTTGGTTGTCTAAAACAATCACAAACGTAATGATTGAAAAAAAAAAAACGCGAAAAAAAAAAAAAAACATCTACAGGCGCGGGCGCTTTTTCATCTTTGGCGTTAATTTCTCTCTCTTCTGCACTATGCGCTTTTCTTTTTATTTGTGACGTAATCGAATATAAAATTTAGAAGCTTTGAACGCGACATTTTATAATATTGAATAACGAAATTCATAAAACATGTCTCTTAACGCAATTGCGAACGCACTACGGCCCTTCTTTCTTTAAATACCGAAAATCGGAGTTCGCAGTGATGTCGCTTCCTAGTTTTTTATCCTCCCTCGGTAAACATGGTGTCGTGGTGGCGTTCGGCACATGTAGCACTGAGGATGACCGGTGAGTTGGGTAAACGGATGAAGCTCTCTTTTTTAGGTGCCCGACGACCTCTCAGAATTCGAGAACAAAATCGTCAAACGGTTAAAACAACTGGGCTTGGTCTCTGTACCATAGTTTCGGTTGTGACTCCGCCGGAGCAGTCTTTCACGTAGAACCGCCGCGACGTGGCACCCCACTTCGCCCACAAAAGTACACTGCACGTTCTCTTCGACCCAACACCGTTTCAAAGAATTTGAGATCGCTGAATGTGCACTAAACGGACTTCAAACTTGAAAATGAAGCGCCGTCTGCCCTCAGCGATAGTCAGCACGCACGGAAAAGAGCGGTTGACCGCTGGACGCGGTCAAACACGACACGGCGGGTCTGGAAGGATCTAAGGAGTGAGATGAACGATTGGCAGGACGACTCAATTTTTGACGTCACTACACTGACACGGATCGCGCGGGAACTTGATATTAGGCGTTTGAAAATTGTTTTCTTCTTACTGCACAAATACTGAGTTCCCAAGTTTCGCATTATCGGGGTAATGTCCAGCATCGTTTTCAATCGTTTCAAATATCAAAAAAGAAAAAAAAACGAAAAAAAAAAAACGATTTAGATTTTTCAGTGTTTCTTTAAGGGAAACTGCAGTCTTGGGAAAAGTCAACACGTTTGTTTCAATTCTTTGAATAATTTTTATATACCCTTTAAGCTAAGTGCATTCAAGAGGGAAGACGGCTATACAATATTAATAACATTTTTAAACAAAACAATATCTGTGATGTTAGCGATCGAGGCGAGAACCTTCAAAAGCTCACTTGCACCCTCGTTTTTTTGTGTTTTTTTGTAGATTTTGTAGATTTTGTAGATTTTAGGTTCATTGGCTCGATTGTAATTCCTTTCCGGTTCGGTTAACGAGAACAAATCAACCGGGATGGTTCAAGACTTCTGTGGTTTCTATCGATAGACAGCTGGGATTGTATCACCTCTATCTGCGTTTTACTCGTGTCTGCACGTTTCCCTCACAGAAAACAAGGGCCCTTTCTGCGGTAACAATATTCGTGAGGACACCGAGGAGTGTGATTGCGGATACGGGGAGGTTGACTGCCGAGAACGGTGCTGCTATCCGAGGAAAAACCAGGCCAACGCTCAGGGCTGCACGCTCAAGCCTTCCACGCAGTGCAGGTGCTTTTCTTTGTTCTATCACTGGACTATGCATTATCTGGTGCATCATTCATGTTTCGTGTAGCAAATGCCCACTTCTCGGCCTGCTCTCTTAATATACGCCTCTAATATAACTAAAAAATTTTGTTAGAAAAAATCCAACCAGCGGAAAGCGACATCTTGATCGCGCTTATATTTGAGATGTGTTATTTCATTTAAAATGTATGCTCTCGGGGTTATGCGAGATTCTTAATATAATAAAAATTAGTCTGCGAGCTTTCCTATCATGGTATGTTTCGGTGTTGTGACCATAACCGCGTTTATTTAAGCCCAAGCAGGTGATGACATATCACGCCTAAATAGCACTAGTGTATTTACTACATTCAACAAAGAAATATATATTTTTAATTTTAAAACAAACACTTGTGGGTAGAATTAGTTAAATATCGGGGAGTACCACCCATCAACAGTGTTGGAAACAAAAATATAGATGTAAATTAATACGAGCAGGAATCGCCAGAAGAGAATGTTTATGGCTATGACCGGGCACGTCTATTTACTTCCATCGTAAACCATAGACACGGAAAAATAAAAAAAACGGACAAAACAACAACAAGTCTCAAACACAGCTTCTAGTTTATTTGATTTATTTATTTTCACGTCTATTTAAAGGCATGTGCCCTTAAATAAATGTGATTAACCGTAATTTTTAATACGCACCGATAGGCAGACGAAGAGCGTTCGCCTAATGGCTTTCCAGGTACCCAAGTGACTGGTAAAATCCGTTTCAGGCATGCTCTCGTATTTATAATCACAAAGAAAATAAATTAAGCATGATTTGAACTCCGTGGGGTACGACAAATGATTTGCACAATCGTAATGCCCCGGCGGTGTATGCGTGAAAAAACGAACTGAACGTGGGACGAACATCCGCCCTTGCAAAAATCATTCCACAAAAAAAAAAAAACAAAAAAAAAACATTTAAACTAGACAAAAAACGTGAGTGGGTTTTAATGACACAAAAGTTGAAAATACGCTTTTCAGAAAACCAGAATTTTGATTCTCGTCAATAAAAAGATTAGTTGTCTTTTTTTTTTTTAATATCGCAGATTTATTTTGTTGTGTTCAGGTTTTTGTTCGAATTTTGGTTATACAATCAGGAAAAGACAAGAAGACAGCAGCCTGAAAACAAAGGTGGGTTCGGAAGAGCTGTTGGCGCAATTTCCAAAGATAGATTTTTTTCTTGGCGTAAAGCTGAGGCATTGCATGTAACCATTCATTTGGAATAGCAATTTCCGAGCCAACAAAGAGATATATCGAAGCGCTCTGGCCAATAAGAAGTGACCGATACTAAGCTTCTCAATGTTCAATATTGTCGGACGTCCGAGCTCATGTATGGACAGCAAGTAGTTGCGTGGCCAGGATTTCCTTCGCACAAATATTCGAGGTTATTTCAATTAACTAACAGATTCAAAGCTAATTTTAATACACGATGACCGCGCTTTAAAAGCGTGCACTGCACTATGAGCACATAAAATAGAGTGCATCGCTTACGAACTGTTTTCCAATAGAAGTTCGATACTGCACGGGAAGTATTGTACACATGAACTTTATTTCCCCTTTGCCGCTTTTTTTTGTTTTTTGTTTTTAGTCCTTCCTCGGGGAGCTGTTGCGGCGACGATTGTCGGTTCATCAATAGGAGACATGTCTGCGCACTGGAGAACGACTGCAATTCGGCTGTCAACTGCAAATATCCTTCAAGAGGTCCATACTCGGTGTTTGATTCATTTGGTTGCCAGTATGAATATCACGCTAAGAACATCTCTTCTGGGGGAAGTAGAAGATTTCTGATGTATCGACAAAACTAAGTGGTCAATTTAGAAAGCTACGATGGGACCGTTGCTCGCTTTTTTGCAAGTGCAACGAGCACTGCCCGCGCCCACCGGTAAAAAAAACAACAAAACATTAAGATGTGAAACTAGGTTCAAAGCACGAATTATATCGTTAAAACAAGATGTGAGCCAAATGTTATGTGATCTTGGTGAAAAAGCTTGTTCTCTTTCTCTCTCTCTCACTCTCTCTCTCTCTCTCTATATATATATATATATATACCATATCTTCCTGGCTATAGTCCGCGGACTATACATGTTTAAAAGCTGGCATTTGAGGCTGCGCGGACTATCTACGCGTGGGGACTATGCAGTAATTCTGTTTTTCAAGATCGTTCATTGGGACGAGACGTGACGGATTGTGTGAATGAAAGAGTATGTTAATGATGGTTTAAGTATATACAAGCATCTTTGCGAGCTATCAAAGCAGACATTCGTGAAGGTGAGCCGTATATGAGAAGATTATTGTGTCGCTAAGCACCAGGTGCGGATTATGTGCGGCGCGCAGACTATGCACCGGCTGCGGATTATCTAATCTAAAACTTTTTATCGGCCTAAATTGATTTTTGCGGAATATAAGCCGGGTGCGGACTATAGCCCGAAAAATACGGTATGTACAGAGGGTGTTTTTTGTTAGCGTTATAGAATTGTTAGAAAAAAAAAAGCAATAAAAGCTACGCTTACGCGGATTCCCAGGTGAGTGATACGTGGACCTAGAACAGGAAGCTAAGCGTTACGATCAGTGGGATAATTAAGTATAATTTATTAATTAACTTTTTAATGTGTAAAATAGGCATATGGCTCCAATTAAAAACTTGCTAAGCATAATCGAAAACCACTAAAAAATCCCTTTTTAGGAAGATATAAAACAGGAGCAGCATTTTACGGCATTCTGAAGAAGAAAAAAGAACAACAACAAAAAAAACACTATTTTGACGCGTTTCTGGGTTTCCATTTCTTATCAGAACGTATCTCTACGCCCGCGGTCCTGCTCCCCGGTGGTCGCGGCAGCCACGTAGCCGGGATTTTGTTTCGAAGGGCGGGGGGGGGGGGGGGGGGGGGGGGGGGGGGGGCGTTGCTTTGTTCTCTGTTGTTTTCTTTATTTTATTTTTTTATAGGGTGACGCTCTTCATAAATGCAATTTTTTTTTGTAATATATCATATTCTTAACGAGTAGTCTGATGAGCCTGCAGAACTCCTGACGGATTGTGTCAAACAGTGTTATTGCTGTAACAGGTATTTCTTTCTGAATCATTTATTTGCGCATGGCACATACTGAAGTGCAAGTTTTCGAAATTTCCAATATGCTTATTTTGTTTTACTTTTCGGCATCGAGCGCGGCTTTTTCCTTAACGCTCGGCTGGTCCAACTGGTTTGTCGGCGGAGTGCCCAGCGCAGACGAAAAAGGCCAACCTGACGCGATGCAACAAAGGCTCCCAAGTGTGCATCGACGGCAGCTGCGAGGGCTCCCTCTGTCTGCTGCACGGCTACGAAGACTGCCAGAGTTCGGGACCATCGTACAGTGCAGAGAAGCTCTGCAATGTGTTCTGCAAACTCACAGGTAGGCGTATCAGAGTTTACAGCGAACGTTTGCAGCAAAACAACAACACCAATAACAGCAAAAATGGAGAAAAAAAAGAATGTGGCGCAAAATCACTGCCAGGCCAATCGTATCTACCGAGTGCTTAAGCGACGAAAATGCATTGTGTTTCATTCACCGAAGGAACGCAGAACGTATCGCCGAATAGTCAGTCTCTGCCCCAAAATGTAGGTCTAGCGTTTGAAACCATATGTGCCAAACGCTGGCGTTATAGTTTTAGAGCTGACTGTTATCTGATGAATAATTTGTAAGGAAGTTTTGAACATTTTTAATGAGAGAATGTAGCGCAATCGCGGCACTAGACACCATTCATTTCCATGTATCCGCGGACTTCGTTGACCGTCAGCTTCTGGTGGAGACTTCAAAAATAATTTATATATTTTCAATCTGGTACCTGCATGGTTCCAACCTCTAGCCTGATAAATTTGAATGGAGGATGAGCGTTTGTGGCTTTTTTCTGTGGTTAAAAAAATAAAAAAAAGAACACAGTTATCTTTATGTTCCCTTTTGGGTACAATATGCGTTTCTGTTGTCAGGTTATCTTAATTTTGATGTTAAGCACTAGTTTTCTTGAAAACAAGGTTATTAGTGTATTCAGGCTAGAACATGTTAGCACGGTTTTATTTTTGTGTTACAATACTGAACAAAATCCCGCGACACTGTAAAATAAATGCGAACGTCTTGCGATGCATGAACCACTTATAAGCATTCGAGGCAAAGTGGGACATCGCAACGCCCATAGGTGTAGCGTGTCTTGCTGCGGCCACTTTCGCTGCGACTGCTCTGCGCTTGACGTCAGCTGCGCTGCTGCCGTCAAGGCCATTTTCAGGGTCATTAGCTTTCCATAAAATTGCGCAACTTTCTTCCATTGGGAGGGAAATGTTTCGCCTAGTCTTTTTTATTCATTCAGTCGAAAATAATGCAGTGAAATATACGTTGACTTCTAACTCGTAAGTGTTAGAAGTCAACGTGTTTTGCGGGCAAAAGTCCACGGCGCGCGAAGACAAACGAGGGCGGTGTTGCTGCATGTCCCCATTTGAGGAAAAATATAGCGGGCGGCAACAAAACAAGTGGAGAGAAATCATTTCTAAATGTTTGTTGCTAATAATTCATGCACTTTTATTTTTGTTTGTTTAGATGCGGTTTCTGTTGTGCCGGCCTCCCAGAAACACAAGCCTAGACTAGTGTTTCTGGGCTGCAAAAAGAGAAGTAAAAAAAAAAAATTAAACAAATGAACAGATTTAAACATTGCGTCTTGTGGCGGTCTGTGAAGCTCCGTCGGAATGCCGCCACGTCATGAGTTCCTAAGAAGCAGCAGCAGTTCGCGGTAAAACCGCTTAATGTTTCAAAAGTAGCGCAATGTGCGTCGATGCACGAGGCACGTGCACCGTGCAGCCCTTGGGAATATCATGGCGGTAGAGCGCAGCACTGAGCTAGATGTCAGGCGTCATGAATTTCCCAGAAGTGGCGCGTGGCACGTGTCTCAGCATTTCCACAGCAATGTATGGCGCCACTTTTCCCAGTATAGACGGGCTTTAGTTCGCGGCAGTATGGCTCTCTCATGGAGTTCCTTAGTCCTGAATGTGGCGGAGAACGCTCATAAGCTGAGACTATAGCCAAAGCTACAGGAGCGAGCTAGTCCGCGCTCCTGGCTTTAAGACATACATTTGTAGCGCAAGGGCTCGTTCTATGGAAGAACGCTTCAAAGCAGCGACTTCGAGCTCGCGGGGTTCTGGCATTGGCTGCAGTCTCAGACAACGTTGGTCTCAGCTCCACAATGCTTCTGCAACATGCATTCCACACCATCGAGACTGCCGTTTTTGCAGACGTCAGGTAAAAGCCTCGCCTGAGTACACTGTAGTCTGAGGATGCGGGTACCTCTGTCAGGCCAACCATTCGCCATTTCTTGGTACTGAAGGTTATCTCTACATACTGTTTCCCTCAAGCCACTACTTTCGCGGTTTGAAACTAACAGGGTGAAACGAACGCTGGTGGCACATAAAATACCGGCATGGCCGTTACGGGTAAGCTATGTATAGGCTATAGGGCGTACAGTCATCGGATATTACTACTAGGCGAGATTGTCGTGTGTTGACGCCACCAAGCGGCAAGGCTCGCAACTACAGTACCCTTGACCGTGCGAGAACTGTTGACGTCACGAACGCAATACGCATAGCGCTTCTCGCTGGCCGACTTTGAAGCGAGGGGTAGGGAGCTCGGGCTCGCGTCATTTCCTTTCCGTATCCCTTTAAGGAAATACTGAACCAAGATTTTTAGTGTCCATAATAAGTGGCGCACGCTCTTTCCACGGGCCAGCAGCCGCCGGTGTGCGCGAGCACACGCAACAAAAATGACGTCAAAGACCTTCATTCGCGGTTAAGATGACAGTGAAATATATGGGCTTCGGGCCAAAGGAGAATGAAGACAAGTTTTTCATCTCCACAGTGATGTCTGGTGTGAAACGTAAGCGATTAGTTGGTCTAACAAGCACGTGGCTTTCACTTGTAGAGATGAAAAGACTGTTTTTATTCTCCTTTTCCCTGGAGCCCATACATTTCACTGTCATCTTATACGCCTGTCAGACGGGCTAGTTTAGTGTCACTACAAGCGAGTGCACTTCAACCCACCGAAACACACTCCAAGTGTGTTGGTGCTACACGGGAAAACTTAGTGTCACTCCTAAATGATGGCAATGACAATGGGTAAGTAATGGGCACGCAAAATATTACAGTGCATACGCATTCTTTCATAAATAATTTAGTCGTCTTATTAGAAACACGTTACCACACATTGTTGCGCTAAGTCACGAGCTTTAATCCAAATTTAAATCCAACTTGATCATTACGATCAGCCATTACAAGCCAGTGATACACGTCCGCACGTCGGTACAATGCTCATCTATACTCTGTTTCACTTTATAATGTACCGCAGAAAAGGCTACAAGCGCGAGCTCCTTGCTCAGGGCACATCTCGGCGGCACAAGCTCTCGTGCGTTAAGAGTAGCTCCCAACGCTATGAGCTCGCACTTCTAGCCTTGTTTGCGGTACAACATAAGGTGAAACGGAGTATAGATCGAAACGAGCAGAAGTAGGGATTGAACCCAGGATTCCAGGGTTCTGCAGCGCGAGCTTTCGCTCCGCGTGCTCCAAGCTGGTGTGCGCGAGCCCACTTGGCCACTCGCACGATGGCCACTCGCCACAACGAAACATCATGGAGTGTGTGGAGGACGAGCTGGAGGGCGATATCCGCGATGTTGGACTGTGGACGCGTGATTGGGGTACTTTTCTCCGTGAGAGCCCAACGCCTTTCAGATGAGAGGCAGCTTGACCTGGATGCCGACGCACAGGCAAGAATTTCAAGTGACATCGATCAGCAGCTGCAGGCCAATGCCTTCACCATAGCCGCTCTCATGACCGACAACCTACCCGTGATCAGTCGAGAACGGTGGACTTTCCAGAGGAACGAACGGTGGTTCGAAGACACCTTGCCCCATTTGGGCGAGTTCCATTTCAAGCAAGCCTCTCGCGTCTCTCCTGCCATCTTCAGATTCCTGGAGGAGTCTCGCAGGTGCCTCCTGGCCGTCGCGCAGGGGCCAAGGCTGAAAACTAGATTAGCCGCTTGTTTTTCTACATTGTACTACTTTTCTGCCAACAGAAAACAAGTGCTCATCTAAAATTACTCCTATAAAAATAATACTAATTTTACGCAGCGATAATTTCTTCTATTATTTTTACTCCTTGAACACTGCTATCGAGATTACACATTCGGTCTACCGAAACGAGCGTAGTGTGCTCCCTGAACTCACTTCATTGGAAGTGTGTTCTTCGGGCAGGGTTGGGGATTGAGCTCAGGATCACTGGGTTCTCCAGCGCGAGCTTTCTCTCGAGGTACTCCGACCTGGTGGGCGTTAGCCCACTCGGCCACCGATACCCTTTAATAAAGACACCTTAAGAAAATTAGACTTTTACAATTATCTGTAATGCCGAATTGGAGCGCAGCTCTAGAGAGGAGGGAGGAAGTGCACGAAGTGGAGGGTATGCACTATGCAGCCGCTCCCCCTTCGTACCGTCCTATCCTCTTCTCCTATTCCCATCCCACTTAGCGTAAAAAAGTCGCTAAATTTCCCGCTAAATTTAGCCGGAAAATTTTCCCGCTGAACTGACGTGTGACGTCACATGACACGTCATCTGAAATTTTGAAGGTGACGTCAAACCGGTAAAATTTTTCCTCTAAATTTAGCGGAAAAATTTTCCGCCAAACTTAGCAAAAACTTTTACCCCAAAATTTAGCGGGAAAAGTTTACCCTCGTGACGTCACACGTGACGTCACACGTGACGACACACGTGACGTCACGTGTGACGTCATTTTGGGAAACAGTCCTTAAAGCAACGCGTGGTTACGCCGACGCCGCTTAACTCAGAATGGGTTGCCTAGGAGCTGTGCTCTAAAACAACGTTGCATTAATGAACGATTTTTACGCCAATTGGATTATTCTGATCGATCATCGCAAGCCAATGCGGAGGGCAAGTTCGTCTGCTTCTTGCGCAGGGGGGTAGCGGTGACGTCAGAACGCCGAGCCCTGATTGGCTGATTGCGACCCCCTATCTGAGCGTCGTCTGCTCCTTTGCAACGTCGTCTGCGTCTGTCTCACCTTTCCTGCGAGTTTCGAAAATGCAGAGGCCAGATTTACGAAACGATCTTACGTCAAAAATATGCGTAAGACAAAACGTAAGAACAAATTCGTATTCACGAAACAAAATTTTCGTAAGTTTTGCGCAGGTTACGACGAAATCCTACGACAGCTCTGAAGCTGTCTTACGCATTTCTTACGATCAAATCAGTATGGCCGACAGCGTCGCGGTCGCGACGACCCACGGACGTTTATTTTTCTACGTGCGCTTCTCACGCGTCCCGACTTCAAGCTGCAAGAAAAAAGTAAAAAGTGCTTGAAACAGACCACGACGAACAAGAACGCTGGATCCACAAACACCGGGGAAAAGCTCCAACGGCCACGATTCTACCGAACGCGACCAAGCGAGCCCGGCAGTTAGGCTTAGCAGGCACTCCGCGACTCGGCGACCGTCTGCCCACGACCGGCTGGCGTGCTGAATGGAATATGCCCGCGCGACCCTGGTGGACCCTTCCTGAATTATACTTTGATCGCTGACCTTAATTTTAGATTAAGAGGTAAATTTCTTCCTCTTGTTATCTCCTTGTTTCCCGAGGCAACGGTGACTCTCACCGGTGAAAAAGCGGTGAATCTCGGACAGACGCAGGGAAGGTAAAGCAGCCATCGCTTTGAGTAGCAGACGTAAAGGAGACGACGTTAACTGCGCCAACCCGCCGACGCCGTTAAGGAGTGAGGGGTCTCGCCGCACACGAAAGGAGGGAAAAAGTATTTGGGAGGTAACTTGAGGACACTAACACGCTCACCCTCTCGGTTCTTAGCAAACAAACCTCGGCGCCTCGGGACACCTCGCCATTGAGTCCTTTGACTTCTCTCCTTGATGCACGTCTGCTAGTTGTTATTTCGTGTGCCCTCTCTGAAAGGCGAAGTCGAGCTCGCTCGTAAAAACCTGCACCTCCGAAAGTCGCAAGAAAGGTAAGCGCAGGCGATGTTGCGAGCAGACGACGTGTGCCAGTAAGCTCTTGTCAAGCGAAAAACATTCCAATTGAATATCGTTGCAGCGCTCTTTTAAAGCCGAGGTCACACTACTCCTACATTTACAAAAGACAGTCTGCATATGGATTGGAACGCGAGTCACCGTGAGATCCGTGCTTCGTATGCCGCGTCGCAATGAGTTCAAGGAGAGAACATGGCAGACGGCATTCGAACCACGAATATTGCGGTATGGTGTTTGCAGACTGTCGTTTGTAGGATGCATGAGCAGTGTGACCCCGGTTCAAGTCGAACCGTAGTCTACACTAAGATCAAATATAACCAATCAAGCAGCGCCAAAAGTTCATCGTGACGGAAGTTTCGCGATTCAATATGGCGGCGCCCGGGTAGAAAAGGGCCCATAGAGCCACGACAAAAAAATATTCGGAATTTTCGACCTTGTCATTGACTTATTTAAGCGAAAGAAACCTTCCGGTTGAAGATACAAAAAATAACGACGTTGTTAGGTTGTCAGCTTGTTTTAATAGGAATATATGTTTGCGGAGAGAACGGTAAGGTACGAGATTAAGTGACCAGACGTAGTAAAACATTAACTACGTGACTTTTGAAAGTGACACTCGAAATACGATGCTCGAAATGTACTCAGAAAATATACTGACAAATATTCGGCTTTTTGTTTTTGCCCGAGGCATAGAAACTGTCGGCAATTATGACATAAATGTAATATTTTCTACTTGATTTAGCACAAATTAAGTAGAACTGTGCACCAAAGGCCCTCTCCTCCCAGAATCCGGGTTACAATTTGTTTCGCTTAATATTTTCTTTACCGCGTTAAAAATAACGTAGTTCCTCGCAACGTAAGGAGACGCAACGTAAGAGGAGGAGAACGTAAGAGGGCGTTAAGAGGACCGTTGGTTTTGTGGACAACATTCTTGACAAAGGAGGGCTGCACGCTTTCTCGATAGAAAGGTAAAGGAAGCGCTTGGAGGATGGTTAAGCTTCGCCTTTAAAAAGCGCGATAGCGTTTTGGGCCCCGTTCGCATCGCCTTCTCAGTCGCCCTGCCAGCGTGCCTTGCGTCGCCTAGTCAGTAGCGCGTCTGGCTCGCCACCAAAGGGTCGTGAATTCGAATCCCGCCTAAAATCTTCAAACCTTTTCTAAGGTAAATGAATTACTTCATCAAGCGAAACCATTGGAGGCATGCGGCGACCTTTATTTCGCATTGTGTGTCATGTTTTAATCGCTTTCATTCCACTTGCGATGTCACGTTTCACGCGAGCGTTCTGGATTGTTCGAAATTCCCGCGCGAGGTCATGTGGCATGGGCGTCATGACTCTATCGACCAATCGGGATTTTTCCGTCGCTCTACCGACGCCGTCTTTTCTGCGACACAAGTTCCTTAACTCTCTGGCATTAAAATGTGATATTTGTATTGATGGCGCGTTTGGCGCACCACCTCCTGCATGAGAAGGCCGCGGTGCTGGAATTTCTATACGTCATCTACCGAGCACTGACCGAGCAGGAGTACCAGCTAAAGGTGACAATAGCACCCGTATCCAATCCGCGGGCCGCATTGGCCTCCGTTAGGTGACGTAGATAAACCCAGCCCTGGGGCCTCGTTATATAGGAGGGGTTGGTTGATGAAGCCATTGCTCTCTCGGAATTTGGGAACGAAGCATCTCGTTGCAATTCTTACGTGTGTATTGTAGTCCGTTCCCCTGGAGCTAGTCAAACAGCGCCACCAAAAGTGCATCGTCACGACGCTCATCGTCTTTGTGCGTTCGCAATCCCCGACTAAAACTAGTTGGCTGCATCGGATTGTGACGTCGACTGCGGTAGGACTTGGTGAGAAACGGAGTATAGTTGTTCCTGGTCTAATGCATATATATGTCTCCTGTCGGTCTCCACGTCCCTGCAGCCGGCGACAAAGCCTGCGTGGACCCTTGCGAGGAGCCAAAGCTGCAGCTTCTGTGCGGCGTGGCGAGGCCCCGTGGCGCGCCCTGCAACGGCAATATGGGCTATTGCGACGTGTACAAACGCTGCCGCGCTGTCAACGAGGGGGGTGCCCTCCGGAGGCTCCAGAGCATTTTCTTCGGCACCGGCAGGATCAGTCGCTGGATCCAGGTAATTGACGGGAGGAAGGCGCGGGGAACCGCCGGTGTCCACGAGAGTGCAAACACTCCAGCGAGATACCACGAAAAAAAAGCAAGGTCGGTGCTAATGACAGTGCAGCGTCAGCGGGGTCCCAACACGCCAGTTACTCAATTATTACACTTAGCATCAAGAAAAAAAAAAGAAGAAGAGGTGCGTATTTTCGTTTCTGTTTGCGTGTGTGCCAAGCTGAGGCGATGACTTTTTTGTAACTTAAGACTTGTCGATTGGAAAACGTTAGGAAACATGGAAACGTTTGGGAGCACAGAAATGTCAGTTAATTTTGAATTTTTGTATCAGAGAACATAGAGGCGAGCTGGTGAACTTTTAACGTTTAGAAAACTCGAGACCTATATGTATATGTTTACACACATATAAGTCTCGAGTTTACAGAATGACGAAAGTTCACCGGCTCGCTTCTATTTTTTCTGGTATCTCCGTGTTCCCAAACGTTCGCCCACTCGCTCTCCAGGTCCCCTCAGTCGGCGACAAAGCGTGCGTGTATCATCTCATGTTCTGTTCCTTTGTCTCCGGTTACGAAGATGTTTTTCCAGAGTTCAACATTAAGAAGTTGAGCCGCAAAATATGCCAAGCTGCTGGAAGTAAGAATAAGGAATGATTGAAGCTGAAATTTGAAATAAGTTGGGACACTGCGCATTTAGAGTGACACTAAAATAAGTGAGCACTTATTTCTCAATAAAAAATGGATATTTGTTTTAAGGTATCCCTTCCCGGAGGTACGACTAGTTTTGATTTAAAAACGGTCTTCACAGAGCCAGGAACCAATGACATATGAACAAAAACTGATATGACGACACAGTACATACGTTGCGACGAATAAAATGTAACGTGGGCGCACAATTATGACGAACTCGCAGGTACTACATTACAGCGTTAAAACGGTTTTATTTCTCTGCAGCACGCGCTGGACTGCCGTGATTTCATCTCAAAGGAAAAGTCTTGAGAACGTTTCACAACGATCACTCGACTGTGTCGTCATAGCAGTGCACTTTCCGACACTGAGATCAAGAGAAAAATGATGCAACATATTTGTTTATTTCATTCAGACACAAGCACTGATTCCGTTATGTAGGAAAACTACCCTACCTTCCCCAGCCTTCTAAAATCGCAAATCACGTTAGCTAGAAGAAACATGAAGTTGTCTTTTGCGCTCCTTTAAATGTGTTACTTTTGTTAACACTTCGACCGTTTGAGTCGAAATGCGCCCCGAGTATACCCGTGCGTCCGCTTCCCCAAAAAGCATACGTTGGGCCTATGAAAGTGGTTTAAGGAGCGCCTCCAGCCAATCAAGAGATTCAGAAAGAAACATGCGCAGTGACAATGAACATGACATTCCGTTTGCTCGTCGTCTTTTTGCAAATCGCGTTTTCAAATCATTTTGCGTTTAGTTTCCGGTCAATATTTTGACCTGGGTCACAGATGAAAGTGATTCGTCCTCGGCTTGCTCCGATGGGAATGGGGTCGGAGGTATTTTTTAAGATGTGACAATTATCACCAAAAAGTAAAAAGAAAAAACAGTGAGAAAGAAAACGTATTGTCTTCAGCGAGCAATAAGTTCGTTTCACCATACGTCCTCAGGGTTAGGACACAACACGCACCGGTACAGACACAGATGCTAGAAAATCAAGGCCATGATAAATTTACTGCGGTGAATAGACCGATCTCACCAAGCGCTCGGCGCAGGAAAGTAGCCAGGATATTGTTTCGGGGGAGAGGGGCCTACCCTTGACAATATTCTCTATGAGGCGGAGAGGGGAGAGAAGGCCCCAGCAAAATGGGAGATTACAAGCGGGGGGGGGGGGGGGGGGGGGTGGGGGAGCGGGATCGGTGCCCCCCCTCCCCTTGTATACGTGCCTGGTTCGGTGCATGCGTGGCGCCGCCATAACGTTAGTTCACAAAACGCGAGGCGGCTCGTGTTGTCTTGTGCTTTACACGCGCGGAGGTCCAGATGGGTTATCGCACGTGCCGAATAACCAAAGTTTTCTTAATGCATTTTGGCAGCGTTGGCGTAGTGAAACAGGTTGTTGAGATCGGTCTATTGGTTTAACCGATGTTAGAACACACGCAGACAGTTGACGAGCGTCAGTGTGTCCCTGCTCTTTTTTCGCTCCTTGATTGACCCTATTTGCTTGTAGCGTTCACAGTGCTGGAACTTAAAGGGTTCCCGCAAGGACTTTTTTTAATGGTTTTTAATTTGCACCGAACCTGAGCGCACTGAACGTGGTAACTTAATGAAACATTTTTCTCGCATTTCGCTTTATTTTAAAAGTTATAGGCAAATTAAAATGACAAAAAACAAGCAAAAACAAGTGTCCGTGAACTAGAAGAGGGGTAGTGAGCTCGGCGAGCGGTCACGGCCTGCCGCACTCCGTGTCGACGGCTCGAGAGTGCGGCACTAAAGCATGTTCTGGCTAAGCTGTATAAAGCGGCAAGCCAAGGCGGCTCGCATTGCATTTGCTGCGCGATTAAACTTTAATTCGGCATGACACTTCATTGGCCACAAACAACAGCAAACACAGGGTAAAGATCAATTCAGAACGGGAGCCACTTCGCGCTGCCATACCGCCAAAATTCTAAACCGCAAGCCAAAGTTGCTCGGAAGGCCTTGGCAACGCTCGGAACCGGTCGGATCCTCCAGTTCATACGACCGCAGTGCCGCCGCGTACACCCGGGACCTTTCTACGCTCGCCACTCGATGGTGCCTGATCCCACTGCATCTTTCTAGTATGCGGCGCCTTTTCCACTGATTGGTGGCTGGTATGTCGACGGCTCATTTCTTGTTTCCGTACTTTCTAAACTGCATTTGTTTCTTTTCTGGTCTAAAATAGTGAACAAAAACTAGTCTTATAAATATTCGAAACGGTTCGCGCCACTTATATTTTGCATTTTGACTAAAAAGAATGGCTCTGACCATTAGTAAGCCCAGGACCAAAGACGTCACATATCGCGCGCTTTCGGCACCGCGGGGCCGTGGAGGAGGTTTCCCTCGTCGTCCGGTTAAAATATCACTCACTGATATTTAGTTACTCTCTCCGGGCCCGATGGCTTGCCCGAACCCCAAGAGATGAGAAAACCGCAAAAAAGGTAGATGCTTAAATTTGACTGCAGGGCCCCTTTAAAGTAAAACGAAATATTGAAGGCGATGCGCCTGGTATATGTCTTTTAATATCGCAGGGGACCTCCGGAAATATCTTGCTATTCGGGGATTAAAAAGAGCCCCCGATCTTAGAAGGTACACGACGATTGGACAACAAAGTAAGAGCGAACAGGTGCGGAGGCATGATGAGATGCTCTCGTAGATTTATAGTTTAAAAGATTTTACCCTTTTTTGCCATTTTCAGTTGTATTAGTGTAACATTGTTTAGGCTGCGTTCCTTTCACTTCAATAGAAGTTTGTTTATTTTGAGCTATGCATTATTTGGAGTACGAAGCAGGTGAAATAACTTTTGCAGGATCATTTGTGGGCATCGATCCCGCTGGCTCTCCTTTTATTGGCGAGCGTCGTGCTGTTCATTCGCTTCTGCGCCGTGCTTACGCCCAGCAGCAATCCCAGTTTGCCCGAAGCACGAAAGTTGAGGACGCCTGGAGGATCCCGGTCGAACTAATCTTCTCTAGCGTACGTAACCCATCACGCAAATCGCTATTTTTTTGTAACTTGTGAGCATGACGTTTTACCTGGTTGTTTAAGCTTGCAAGCTATAGCCGACGTAACTTGCAAGCTACAGCAGCGTACTCGTAAACATAACTTTGGCTGGCTCGCAATTCTACTGCTTGTTCACACGAGTAGAGAAGTGAAGGACATCCGATGCTCTGCTTACGACACTTGAAATGTTATATAGTCCATTCATTTTTAAAAACGTACTGACAGCCCCCATATTTGACATTGATATTGCCTCAGACGCGTCAGGATAATGTCATATTGAGTCGCACGTCCCCGAATTAGCGCGCCCGTGGCCGAATGGTTATCGCGCTTGGCTTCCACGGAGAAGACCGATGTTCAAGACCTTGGAGCCGACGCACCTTTTTGTTATTTCTGTGAATGTAGCGTTCTGGTGAATTCAAGAACCCTGCTAGTTGTTCGAGGACTGAATATCTGCCCACCGAAGATCTTATGCAGATTGTTTCAGAAGCCCACGCGTGTACATAAGGGGCTCCGCGTGGCGAGCGGGAGGCAGTCTCGCCCCAGCACTCGATCCTGCTGTTCCGCCGACATCGACGCCTGCGACGCTAACCTTCTTCTATCTTGTTTTGGGTACAAGCTCGCTAACTGAACGTCTAGTTTCTCCAGTTACTCGCTACCTGATCATTTGTCCCTCGTGATATTTTGAAGGGAGTGAGGGGAAGTATATTATACCTAAGGTTACTCATTCGCCCCTGCGGACCCGCCAACCAAGTCAGATTCCAAGCTTGCCAGAAAACCGCTCTTTGAGGAACCGAAAACTCGCGCCAGCCGCCGCACTTAGGAACAGCCTCCTAAATGTGGTCTGCTGCTGGACAAGCACAAGCCCAAGAGGACAACGGTGGCCGACCAGTCGCAGACCCCGGCCGCTTCTAACATCGTTTACCTGCCCGTCGCACCACGGACGACTCCTCCGTTCCACGGCGAACTATACGAAGACGTAGAAGATTGGAGAGACCAGTACTAACGCGTTGCCCGCCAAAATGGCTGAACCGACGAGCAGTGCCTGCACAACGTATGTTTATCGCTTGTCGGGACTACCAATCACTGGTACAAAATCCGAGTCGCCTTTGACATTGCGGGACGTTTTCAAGAGCGAGCTAAAGGGGACATTTGTCAACTAATACCGCCGAGAGAGAGCTAAAAACCTACTTCGGACCAAAACCCAGGGCCCCAAGGAGAGTGTCACCAGCTTCGTGGAGGACGTTCTGCGCCTGCGCCCGCGCCGACCCTCAGGCTACGGAAGAGAAGGTGCTAAGAATGCTCATGCGGG